GCCATCAAAGGTCAGACTGAGCTATTTCCAAAGCTGCTGAAGCTTCGGTCACTTCCACACCGACCTTTTTGACCGGGATGGTCTGAATCCACTCCATGGTGTTGACATCAAACACGTCCACGGCGTTCTCGCTGTACACGGACAGGTAGGGGGCGTTGTAGCCTGAGGAACATAATACAGCAGTTTCACTCTTTCAGATAAAAAGTACACAAACAACATCCTGTAAGAGGCCAACAGTCACGCTGACTTGTATAAGCGCAGGGTGACGGCCCGCACACACGTGTCGCATTCACACATCTGTGTATCAAACTGCGCGCGCTCACAGGCAGCGATGGGCACAGCCGGCCACATGAGCTCCTGCTGCCGCGACCTGCGGCCCTGCGAGTCCACGTACACCCCGATGGCACTGAAGCACAGCAGCAGCTCCTTGCTGGAGATCTCCACGGCACAGAGGGCGTCCAGGCCCTGCTGAGGGATGAAGGCCAGTGTGTGGTCCTCAGCGTGGAGCAGGCTGACAGGGGACATGTCCCCATGGACACTGTGGAGGGTTTCAGGAGCACAAAGTCAGACTCATGTACGCTGAAGGGGAGCGCAGCTGTAATGATGTAAAGTACCTGTAGCGCATGAAGCCAGACGGATAGCCCACACAGAGACGCTCACTGAGCAGACCCATCCACTGAACCGGCCCCGGGGCCTGCAGCTCCCGCAGCCGACGGTGACGCATTTTACTCTTATTCACCTGCAGGAGTGTCAGCACGTCACATCAAGTCACATCAAGTCACATCAAGTCACATCAAGTCAGCAGTGGCAGACGCCTCGAGGGTTAGCGAGGGTGAGCTTTTCCTCACCTCGTAACATATGATTTTATTCTTCATGGCCACGCAGAGGCAGGTGATCGAGCCGTTGCGGACCGGACCCGACACGATGGTCTGGCAGCCTTTCGTCTCTGCCAGCTTGTAGAACTCGGTCTCGCGGCCGTCCAGGGCCTGCGAGGGGAAGAGGCGGACGTGGCGGTTCCTGCCGGAGATGACCGCCAGCAGCTGCTCCTGGAGCATCAGGTCAATGTGGTGCACCTTCTTGTTGTCCCCCACCCGGATTATCTCTGAGGACAGAGGGAGGAGTGAGGGAAATGAGGCAGAAAGCAGAGGCGACACGAGTCGCACAACCGGGAACACACCAAAAACACCAACACAGATCCTACCATCTTTGGTGACATGGATGACAAAAAGGCCTTCCTCGTTGCCCAGGGCGACGCGCTCGTGATCTGAGAGTGAAACGAAAGAGGTGAGACAGCAGCGCTAAGGAGAAAGACTGTACTGAAAACTTTCAGCTGCTTTCTTTGCGGTCAAAACGCTCGACAAACTGCTGGGAGGGTGTTTGTCTGACAGCAGGTAACAGCTGTGATGATTAAACGGTGCATTTCTAAAACACGACTGCACTCGGCTCAGACGACAACACAAAGAGTTTGTGGGTCGCCATTTTAACACTTGCTGAGGTTGAGCGCCCACCTATGATAGCAGCAGACTGTGTCGTCTTGATGAGGGGCAGGGTGCTGTCGTAAGCCTCCTTGGGGACGTAGACGAAGCGCTCCTTGAGCTTGTTCCTCTTCAGGATGCGGTGGAGCTCGTTGAGGAGGCCCACCCACTTGGTCCTCTCCTGGTCGCTGTCGGCCAGGATCAGGATGGAGGGCTTGTGGCTGCTGGAGGGGGACAGCTGGGACGCCGTGACCTGAGGAAAGAGGAGGATGATGAAGGCTCGCATTATGTGTTTGAAAGAGATTTTGGCGTTTGATGCATCTCTTCTTCAAGTTCATCCAGTTGTCATAATATGGTTCCTTTGGCAACGACATCCAAAGCAAGACAATCATTAGAAACATGACTGTGCACACAGCCCTGACCTTTAACCTCCAGGAGCCGCTTTACGGCGTGGACAGGTACTCACTCTGAATATACAGGGAATGTCCTTGCGGCTGGCGTGGATGACATCAGAGGCCAGGACTGAACTGACTGAAAACTCTTCATCCCTGGGTGAAAGATGGAGGTCAGTGTTTACATTTCATCGATGCTCGTCACTAAAACATGTTGAAGAAACCCATCGACTGTAAGCGTGCTACGGACTGGACACCAGCTGATGGCCGAGCTCCACTTTGTGTCTTTATTTTAACGACCGATTCATTTTTCTCTTTTTTAAATGAATCTTTGGGCTTAAATGTGTCAGAAAACAAAGATTTCCATCATAATTTACTCGCGTGCGTCTGTAAAACACGTTTTATCCAAACACAAAAGTCACGTTCTGGTGACTTTTACTGACATTTACTTAGAAACTACAAACTGAAGCAGGCAATTCTTCCTCAAACGCTTAAAGCATTTCTTAGTTTCAGGAGTTCTTACCTCATGTCTATGACTTGACTGACGACCACACTTGGCTGTGTTGCTTTTCCTTCTCCCAGTTCATAGAGGAACAATTTAAAGTCACAGACCACAGCCATCGCCCTCTGCCAGCCCTTTTTCACCCCGGTTGGTTTGGGCACCTGCAAACAAACAGATCTGTGCGTCAGTGCGATCAGTCCTGCATCTCACGAAGCGTCCGCGCCAGCGGTTTCACGTCTAAACAGCGAGGATCCTACACACTGCAGACATTTGTGTTCTTTAGAGCCTCGCGGGTCTCTGAGGCTTCACTCACCCTGACGTGTCCTTCGTAAGCAGTACCGATCCCCCTCTGAGGGTCGATGCCCAGCGGGCCCTTGGTCTGGTCCTGCGGCACGGGGCACACAGCTGGAGCTTTGTCCGCACACGTTACATGGCAGGAAAAGTTGCATACTAGAAGCACAGAGGGAGACGGGTCAGGGCTGTGACTGTAGGAGTACTGAATCGTGTCAAACACCCCCGTCCGTTACTCTCGCGCTCACCTTCGCACGTACAGCCTTGACGGATGAGCCCCACCATCAGAGAGGTGCACTGGTTACACTTGGTGGGTGTGTTGAATGTCTTCACTACAAACTGATGTGCTTTGGGCTGCAGAAGACATAACGAGCGGTTATCAAACAGAAACTTGAGCCGTGGTCGTTCAGCAGCGAGTAACCGATGACCAACCTTAGGTGAGGAGCGCCCGATACTGCCATAACCTCCTGAGCGCATGGTGGGCGTCTGAACTGAGCGAGGATGATCGATCAACTACGTGAACAACAACACAAAGAACATCATCACTGTTTCGTCCTATAAAAAGAATCGTTGTGTCGCAAAGAACAAGCTTGCTGGAGCTTCAGGATCACACAGATGTTCAGCCATGAGAAGATCATCGCCATGCAGGACAAACGAGCTGCCAGTGATTTTTCTCTGATGTTTACTTGCTGCATAATATTTAACCTCAGTCTGAAAGCACTGGCGGCTCATGTGCTGCTGGTCAGCAAACGAGGCTGAGACCCTGGAGCTGTGGGTTTCTTGCCCAGATTTAGGGAATGTCTAACCTCTATTGGCTCCATGTCACTAGCCATGGAAGGTGAACGAGAGCGGGGCTTAAGGTGGGACTTGGGGTCATCTTCCCGAGACGGCGTGTTGGAGGGGGTGAAGTTATCCACAGAGTCCACCTGTGGAGAGAGAGGACAGTAAGAAAGGTGCGACAAACGGGAGGAGAGGGAGGAAGGTGTAAAAGGACGGCGACGAGGGAAAATGAAGAAGAAGAGATTAGTGACACAAACCACCTAGCCAGCATTCATGCTAATAGGAAAGGGCTGTCACCATAATACACACAGCAAACACATTCACTGAGCTTTCAAAGCACAACAGTGTCACACATGCATCCACCAGAAACCATGCAAACAAAGCACCTGCAGCACCACAGACAGGCACAATCGGACAAATTCAAACACCTGCCATGCAAACACACAAATGAACCAGCGTGACAAGACTACACATCTGTGATGGTGCTTACACGTCTGCCTTTGCTAGCTGGGCCGACGGACGGCGAGTGCTTCAGTGGCAGGAGGAGAGGCAGAGACACAGATGAGTCAGAAAGGCTGAAAACATCTTTAAACAGACTCAGAGAGACACATGAAAACGGGAGAAAAGGCTGTTCTACATTAGACCCGTGATTCCCGACCGATGCAGCGTTTCCTCTGCAGCACAATGAAACTAATAGAAAACCATCGATTTACATTTCTAACAGCTCTAGCTCATGATCCACCACACCTGGATCCATCAGCTTCTGCTCAAACATTTTTCAGTTCAGTCGCTTTGTTGAATTCAAGCTGCTTGTTTCAGTCAAATGAACTGCAATATCACACTGGGGCCACACTGGGGCCACACTGGGGCCACACTGGGGCCACACTGGGGCCACACTGGGGCCACACTGGGGCCACACTGGGGCACAGCGAGCCTGGTTGGGAAGCACTGCATTAGATTCATGTATCCATGAGGCTTTGTGCTGCAGACATGGTGGAAACGTACACGTGTAATATGGAAGGAGCTACTAAGGAAATGCAGCACAGAGAACAGCGACCGGCCTGACTGGAAAAATACTTCAAGTTTGTGAATAATGTTGTTTTCTCAGGTTCTCGCTCTAGAAAGCCAAAGTAGAGCCAGTCCAGCAAGCATCTAAATACAAGGACTACAAGAAATGTCCACCTTCACAAGTGTTCATACTAAATACTGACTTAAACTATAAAGCCATGTTATTTTCTTAAAGCGGGTAAAATGAATCTGACTGGAAACAATGAAAACATCTGGTTTTAAAAGTGGACGTGTTCTGCAAACTCCACTTTTCCCCGTTTGTCCTCAGTGTGTTTAGAGAAGCTGCCACAACATTATTATTCCCTCGCTGAGCAGCTTCAATCCAAAACGCTCTCATGTTAGCAGCAAACGTGGAGGTCATGTAGCTTCTGAGGAAGCCAGACGCAGCAGGTCCGGTTTAGCCTGAAGTAAAAACTGCAGGCCAGCGCAACACAGTCAGAAGATGTAGACTGGAAATCAACTACTGTTGTGTTTTCATTCCGCCTTTGGTGCTGCAGCACAAACTGACTTTCTGTCTCACTGCCTGGGCTCGTACTCGCCAACCCTCCTAATTTCAACTGTTAGAGACAAAATGATTCTCTGACGTCCTTCTCGACTACATGAAAAGAGAAAGACCAGCTGCCCTGCAGGCAGCTCCGTATGCGTCCTGCTCTCTGTCGCCAAACTCAAAGGATTGTGGACTTAGATATGGTACAAATAACCAGTTATTAGAGTTTTGCATTTTCTGGTTAGTGTTTTAATTCAGTTTAGCTTCAGTGGATTTTCTTCTTCCACTTTAGTTTTTACTGTTTGAAAATGTTTTATTTTAGTTTTTAGTCTCAGATTTAGCTCATAGTTACACAAGTTTTAAAGGGCAGCTGACTCAGTCTCCACAAAACACGTCCATCAAAACCTCTCGAGGCAAGTTTTTTTTTAACCAAACTAACAGAAACTAAAAGGAGAGCTCGTCTATATTTTCATTTTATCTTTCAATCACATGTAGTTTTAACATATGTGAGCTGAAATGTGAAACTCATCCTGTGGAGCCACTTTTAAATCATCTTGTTATAAAAGCACAGAGTTTTCCTTCTTCAGATAACAGCGAAGATCCACGTCTCCATACAGTGACACA